TGCTCTTGCTGCTTTTGCTGTCTTGTACCACCTTGAAGTGTTGCCATTGAGCCATGCCACCCTGTTTTAGAACCAGCTTATAGACTGACACCTCCACAAGCTGTAAGCTAAATAAACCTTTCCTTCCTTAATTCTGGGTGGCAGGTATTTTGTCTCAGCAACTAGAGAAAAGTAACCAAGACAGGAAGTAAGTGGGAAATGTGGAACTACCAAAGTTCACATCTTTTTCTCTCAGTGATCTAAAGCACAACAAGCTAGATCTAAGAAAGTTTTCAGACAACCTAATGAGTACATTGAGGTCTTTATTGGACTTGCTCAAAACTATGAGTTGGGCTGGAAAGATGCAATGTTACTGTTAAATCAAACACTGACTTCTAATGACAGACAAATAGCATTACAAGCTGCTATTGCATTTGGGGGTAAATATCATATTGTACATTTTAGAAGACCAGAAAATAGAAAGTCAGGGGAACAACCAATTCCCACTAGACCCCAAGCACTCCTTACCAGGTCCCCTACTGGTCTAACAACGAGATGAGAGATTGGAATAGGAGGCATTTCCAGACATGTGTTCTTGAAGGTGTGAAAAGGAGGAGAACTAAGCCTTCACGTCTTTTAGATTGTCAGCTATTCAGCCAGGGAAAGAAAAACCCCCTTTCTTCTTACATCACTTACAAGAGGCATTGGTAAAACATACGTCCTTACTCCTGATTCAACAAAAGGACAGATAATTCTTAAAGACAAGGTTGCTACTCAGTCAGCCCTAGATATTAGGAAAAAACTACAAAAGATGGCTTTGCTCCAGATAACTCACTTGAAACTTTAATGAAAATTACCTACTCAGTGTTTTACTTATTTTTTAATGTTAACAGCTGTACTTTATTTTTTCATTTTAAAGAGAAAAAATAAAAATAATAAAACACTTTCAAAACAGGTTAGTGGGAGAGTTATAATAATTAATACATTGCATATTGTTGTCTTCATAGTATTTATTAAGAGTAAAAAATATAGGCATGCTGAGGAATGGGTAAAAAACATGTTTGTTTGTTTGTTTTTACATAGTTTATTACTACTCAACCATAAAGAAGGATAAACTGGAGACTTTTATAGGTAAATGGATGTAACTCAAGACCATGCTTATAAGTGAAATAAATCAGACCCATATGTGTAAACATCATATCATCTCACTAGTGTAAGAATCTGAATGAGTACATAAGGTCCAAAATGTATAATAGATATTGTGAATTGGGAAGAAACTGTTCAACAAAAAAGACAAACTTTGATGTGGGAAAGGGAAAAAGAAGGAAGGGAAAAAGAAAAATTTATATTTGTACACAAGATAGTTAAGATAGTTATACACTAATTTCTCTTAGTTCATTGAAAAGAAAGGTTTATGCTAATATTGTGCGGACAAGATATCATGCCTATATCTCCTCAGTATTTACAGTCAGGATGGAGAAAACTGAAGGGAAAAAACAAAGAGACCAAGGGAAAGTGGCTGTCTTTGTTCAGGCCTAAAAAGAAATACTGTAGACCTTCAGTCTGATTCTCAGGGCTCCCTAAAGAGCCCAGTTACAAAACTCACCTCCTACTACTACGAAATCCAGACCACCATAAGAGGGACCCCCTATGCGATGCCCTGACTACAAAGGTGGTCAGAGGAGGTGAGATTGCAGTCTGATGGAAGGCCTCTGAGCTCAGACCTAACTGCACTAACAACACCGCAGGGCCCCAGGCACGCTGCTTTCTCTGTCTAGACTGTCATCTTCACTGGTCATCTCCGTGGAGGAGCCCTGGGAAATCATGACTATAGCGGAGGAAACCAGCCTATTGGTAGACACTGGCATATGTCTTTTGGTATTCTCTTCAATTCTGGCCTTCCCTCCAGCTATACTTCAATAAAAAAAAAAAAATCACTAAAAAAAAAGGTAACTCACTTCAACTGTAACTGACTAGGATGGTTTTCCCTTCACTCGTTCATCTTAATTATGCCTACAAGCCCAGTTCCCCTCCTAAGTGAGATAGATACCTTATCCTGCCTAAATGCCTAATATATATCCCCAAGGTAGCCAGCTAATCAAAATTATGCTGAGACTGGTTGACAAATACATACATATCGATGTGTGTGTGCAAAAACTTGAGAGCCTTCCATTGGTCAAAATGGTGCATTGTTATAATCTGGTTCTCATACATCATCATTTTTGAGATAATTACAAGTAAAAGTAGAGGGATCAATGATTAAATATCAGATTCAACCAGTAGAGGGGTCTAAGAGCCAGTGGGATACAGTTGCTATTCCAGCCCCTTAAGAAGTTTCTAGATTTTGCTCTTTCCCCAACCTATTATCCATTCTAGTGCTCATGCATTGATTAGATAGGCTCTAATTTCTTAAAAACTTTGTTTATCCTGGCATAGAGGCTGCCAAGCCCCAAGTGACCATGTAGATAAAAGTAATGACAAATATGCTGGATTGCTTTTATGGGAATCTACCAGATGGACCTTGTAGTGAAGATTATATGACACATTGAACCCTTAAGTAACTGTACCAGTGAGCCTTACATGAGACCTTTACTGGTTTCTCTTAATGTAAAACAGTAGTAAAATTAATGAGATAAACAATCCTCCAAAATCAGATGACATTAAACATTCTAACAGCAGCACAATGCTTCTACAATTGCAAAGCTAAACGTTGTGTGTACATTTCTGACCCTTCTACTAGTATCTCAATGGCTATGCAAGATATTAGATGATAGGTTAATGACATGTCATATTCTAAAATTCCCTAGACCTTCTCCTCATCCTCTTTATAAAAAGCTATTACCTGCTGTCAGGGTGGACACCTTTGCTGACTATATTCATAATTATCCATTTGATCTTATTATTTGGCCCATGCATACTTCTTTCTTTGGACTTGTCTCCTCCAGGCTTAAAGCTACAAATCTACCCAAGAAAACAGCTGGTGCCTCTCCAGGTCTTTAGACAGACCCTCTGCAGAGCATCTCAAACTGCTGGTGGCAACTACAACTACTTCAGCCAGAAGTAGCCAGAATGGTCTGGGCACCTGCCCCCTCACTGCAATTAGCGATGATTCTTTGGAGAGGGTACTATTATAGCAAGCTAAGCTATTTAGAAACATTGTAGGCAGTCAGACTGGGCTGAGCCCTTGAAAAGTCAAGGCAAAAGATAATTGAATCTGGATGCATATTAAAGAAAGGCCAGGCTTCAAGAAAAGAGGTGCCTCTACAGCCATATGCTCCCCCTGGGGATAAGCGGCAGTGACTGACATTCTAAAAAGACATCACCTTGGGGTAGAGGACCAAACCTCCTTAACCCACCCCTTCCAGGAAAGTCCTAGTCCTTCCCATGTGACTTCCAAGTGACTTGCATTTCCATTTCATCCACATTTCATCAACATTACCTAAGCAACTACACTTGCTGTAATCTGATTGGTTCACCATACCTTTGTGCCACCTCACACCCATCCTGTGACTCTCCCATTGGGTTAACGTTAGCATATTGGGAATCTTATGGACTGATTACAGTTCTGTCTCACCTTGAACCCACCTCACCTCGTCGCTTTGCTCAATAAACACCCTACAGAAGCAGGGTCGGCATGCAACCCACTTTCTGGTCAGCCTTCTCCCTTACATAGAAGCTTTTCTTCTTTTCAATAAATTCTACCTTTGCTCGAAGAAATCGTTCCTCAATTTTAGAAAACAAATTCTAGCGATGTTTTGAACATCCAGCGGGTTGGGAGTTTCTCTCCTCTAGATCAGAAGTATACCTGTAACTTCTGAGAAGATTCTGTACATGGCAGGTCTCACAGATCCTAAGTTTAAAATCTAAAGCCACAAAGTGTTTTAATTCTGCCTGACTTCCTTGGGTGAGGTTTGATCAGGAAATATGTTACAGTCAAGTCATCCCAGGCTTAACAAATTCCAGTGCTTAGAAATACAAGAGAAGCCTTACAAGTCGTCTAGTATTAATAACGGTATTTCCTCAGTTTCTAGGAGACATTTTCTCATTGTAGGTAGGAATCCTCCTCCAGCAAGTCCCAGTGTTGCATCCTCCCACTCAAGAACGAAATTTCTGGCCTACTCACTTTTCCCGTCAAGCAGCCTTATGACATTTTTCATAGCCAAATCCATATTATGTATTTCAATGTTGTCCTAAACAACCCAAGAGTATTTCAAAGAAACTCTGTCGCCTGTTCACTATCTCCATGGTAGGTTCCCTCTTTCCCCAATCCTGCTAAAAATACGTTTAGCGAGAAATGCTAAGCTTTGGTTCATTCTTTGGATCAGGAAGCTATGACCCAAGCTCTGCGTCTGCTCGGCCCCCTGGTTTCATAACCAAAGTTGGAACAGACCACAGCCATGCCTAGTAGCTGACATATCCCCTACACACCTGCTTTTGCTCTGCAGCAGAGCTACACAGTCCCAACAAAGATCCTCAAAGCCTAACGCATTTACTGTCTGGCTCTTTAATAAAAGTTTGACCCCAGCTTCAGAATAGTCCCCATCAGGGGTGCTGGCTCAACATAAACAATAACAAAATGAATTCGTATCTTAGAAAACAGACCTGTCATGAACTCCCTCAAAGGACTTGCATTTCCCGAGATTGCCCAGCCAGCTGTCAGGATGGAGGCAAGACTAAGACCAGTCACCCTTAGACCACAGCAAGATGACACAGGAATGGGGCCAGGAATCTTCCAAAACAGTTCCATCAGGAGTGTGTTATGAGCTCTTGCCAGCATCAGTCTTTCCACTGCCTTGTTTGTTGCTGGTTTTAAGTTTTTATTTCTTTTTTGGGAGGTAATGGTCAGTGTTAGGGATTGAACCAAGGGCCCTGTGTATGCTAGGCAAGCACTCTACCACTGAGCACATCCCCAGTATCTGTGGACTAGTTCCCTGGCCTCCTGACTATGATACACCAAAAGCTGCTCAATTTGTAACCACTCACGTGCCGGGACCTTGTGAATATAAAGGAGTACAGCAATGTTTTAGATGAACGACTTTTATTTTTGTCAAGCCAAAATAAGCCTAAAAGATCGCCTCCTACTGGTCCCCTAGCCAACCACAGCTTCCCCACCATGACAGCAACAAGGAGCATTTGCCTGCCCTCCACAGGGTGCAGAGCAAGCACCTAGGCTTTGGTGGCTGACTTGTAATGGGTCAGAGTGCGGGCCGAAGGGTCGGTGGCATTGATCCACCTGGGCATCCAGTAGTGGCTCAGCCAGCCAGCCCGGCCCGGGTAGTGCCGCTCAAAGATCTGGCGGTAATAATAGCCTTCTTTCGTTTTTGGAGTATTGAAGGGAAATTTCTGGGCTGCAGCTGCCATCATTGCATCATCAACCTGTGAGAAGAAAGACTTCTGTAAATGATAAGGAAACACTTGTATTTGTCCTGGTGCCACAAGACCAAAACAAAGTTCACAAAAGCCACAACTAACGGTTGTACAACATTCTCTGACTCACCCCACCCACTTTGTCAAAAGGCCAAAACAATATGCATAGCTGCAGAAACTTCTAAGAAACATTCACAGGCATATTTCTAATAACTTAGTGCCTCTGAGCACTTCATTCTTGTCTAGTTGATCGTGTGTAGCACCCACCAGGTACCCAAAATGTGCTACATGGTCAATGGTGATGAAGTCTCTGCTCCTCGTTCTTCTCTTTTGCTTCTGGAGACTACTAGCGACTACTCTGCAATTTTTCATGCTACCTAATTCCTGTATATTTCTTACAAATGAGGTATTATATATGGGCACTGTGAATCTAAATGAGATCAAAATGAATCCAAATGGTCGGATCCAGGAGAGTCTTCTCAAAACATCAGAATCACACCTGATGTTCCACAAATTCCTGTAAAATCTGAAACCAGGAATTCTTGACTGAGGTGATCCCATCGCTGAAGGCCTCTTTGGGTCGCCAGAGAATTTCCCTGGGCAGCAGCTTGGAGTCTTCAAAGGCCTCTCTCAGGAGGTGCTTTTCTACCCCATCCTGCCAGGAGAACAGGAGAGGCATCAGGAGAAGCCACATACGCATGTGGAGAGCAGTGGACAGTGTTTGTCTTGGTTGCTTTACTCACTTTTGGGATTCTCATTTCCGGTGGCAGAGACAAGTAATAGGAAGAAAATCGGTGATCCAGAAATGGAACTCTCAGCTCAAGGCTTAAAGGAGAAAAGGGAAAAATCTAAGTCAAATGCACACTTAGTTCTTGTCAGTTCAGGTTTTGGTGCCGTCTCCTAGCAATTGAACCAAACTGAGTAACCCTAGCTTACACTCCTCTTATACCTTTTCCTACGAAAACTTCAATGCACATCGTACAAAGCAGGAAAATTAAGAACAGTGAGATTGCTGATCATTAAGCATGTGCCTTGCCCAAATCACTGTGACTCAGGTTTTTCCAGGTGAGATCACCTCTTCTCCCAGTAACGGTTCCAATCACAATTCAGTGACCAAGAACTCGTACAAAATATTGAATTTGAACCAGTGTTCAACATTCCATCAAATGCCACATCATCAGTGTCTGTCATCGCAGCGATGCTAAGACAACGAGATAGGATGGATAAGGAAGGGTCCAGGGCCTCCCCACCCACTATTATTTCCCATACTTAACCTTGCTTCAGTAGAGAAACTAAAACATGTAATTCAGCTGTTTGCCCTGTGCAGTAGGAGTCCTTAATTCTTCAACATGAGCACTTAAAGCAGGAAACCTTAAGTCAGGGGCAAATGATGTGGAAGAATCCTGCTTTGTAAATCATCTAATCAAACCCCTTGCATCTTCATTCCCAGCAGGGTCCCCACAACATCAAGCAGGCAAGGAAGGTGCTCCGCATTTGCTATGCAGAGTCTACAGCTTTCACTTTCTTAGACTTAGCAACAGCTGCTGCAGCTTGCCCTGGGCTCAGGAGGGGAGGACTGTGGATACGCTTGAAAGATGGGCACTGCGAGCAGTGAGTGGTGTCACAGGCCCTGAACCCCAGCTGTCTGTGAGGCTGAGGAAGGAGGGCAGGTGTGAGCCTAGGTGGGCAATCTAGTGCAACCCCATCTCCAAAGAAAAACAAAAAAGAAACAATATGGTGCTGGGGGTGCAGATCCAGGGAAGGCTTTCGATCCTCAGTACCACACAAAAAAAGACAGGTACGACATCTGCAAAAGCAACACTGAAGACCTCTCCCCATTCCTAGGGCAGCCCTGTCACTTTATTTCCATTCTTTTGGGGCTAAAACACACAACTCCTATTTGGTTTATAAAGAGAAAAATCAACTTTGCAACATTTGACCCCCTGAAAAAAAACCAAAAGCTCACCCACCAGTCCTTTCCATTTGTCAGTCTTTTTCCCAACAGTCACTGCTAAAATGATCCAGTTACCCGTGGGCAGCAGTCGTCCGGTCGGCTCGGAGAACGTCAAACAGATACAGCTCCTTCAGCAGCCTCCGGCTCTCCTCCTCAGCCTCTTCCGCAGAAGGAGCCTATGTTACAAACAACGAGCTGAGCAACGACTTTGCTTGTGGCACACCCAAGTTCTGATGTCTCCTTCCTACACCCACTGCGACACAGAAGATGGTAAGGCAGACGCAAAGCAAGGCACGGACAGAGCAGAGGCCTGGCCAGCAGCAGATGCTCACACAAATCTCCACAGCCCAGGCTCAGGGCAGGGCAACACAATGGCCGCCCTGGGGGCAAGGCCGGAAATGGGCAGGGAGGAAGGACCGGAAGGGGATTCTCAGCTTCACTGAGGTTAAAGAATGAGTGTTATCTGATCCTACTACAAGGTCTTTCTTCACAGAACAAACAGGCACCCACGATTAGATTTCTTCACATGCAGAAACTCATAGATACTCAAATACCTCACTGTTACCCTGAGATGACAGATGACAGAACGCTGTGACATAGCTCAGACTCTTCTCCAGCCCGCACGGACGTGCCCTCCCTTCAGAGTGCTCACCTTGTGGAAATAGATGTAGCCCTGCGTCAGCTCATCGGATCCTTCTCCAGAGAAGATCACCACACTGTCTGTGTTCTTCCGAACATACTTGGAAATTAAATACATGCCTTAAATGAGAGAAATAGAGCCTCATGTCAACATGGCGTTCCTTCAAAAATGCCTTTTTCTCTTCTTTTTTCTGGCTTTCAAATGCAACTGCCGGATTCACTACTATACTGGGCTCTGTACGAACAGGAAGTGACATCCAAAGCAAGCTCACAGTGCCAAGCCACCCATGTGTACGTGAGCCAGAAGTGATACTCTTATTGTAGTGAAATGGCTGGAAACCTTTCTGACTATGTACACACATTTCAATGCTCTAATGGCTTTACACCAAGAAAGCCCACCCTGAAACATTGCTAAACTGAACAATGATTTGAATGCTTGAAAATCAGGTCTTGTACACTGGTATTTTATTATAAAGTAAGGTTTGGGTGGGACAGTGGTTTGAATATACTTTGTGTCTGAGGACTGGAGGTTTGATGCAGGGTACTGGTGGGACCTGAAGGGGGTACCTCATCTGAGCGGGTGCTCTGGTTCTTACAGGCAAGCCTAGGTGCTCTCCTGAGAGCTCACAGTTACACAAGAGCTCCTCCCAGTGCACTTCCTTCCGGTGTTTCCTTGTCATCCCGCCCTCTAACAGGCTCCCACTGTGACTCTTCTACCGTGAGGGGTCACAGCCAGAAGGGCTCTGGCCAGAGCGCCATGCTGTTTGGACATGAGCTACGAGCCACAACTATGAGCTAAATAAACCATCTTAGAATTTAGCAGAACTCAGTGTTGCTAAGTATTCATAGTAACAAAAGAGACAAATACAGGAGCTTCTGTTTTAACAGTGTTACCCCCCACACTCCTTATTTATGAAATTTCATTGTAGGCGAAGAAGCCTAATTCATTAAATCATACCTGTCTGGTATCTGTTCTAACCCTCTCTAACCAATGCCAGCTTCGCACAATGGGTTTTATCATCACCCCTCTAAGTGCAGCCTTTTCAACTTTGTTCCTAATCTTAACCCACCCCAGTAAATTTCAATAACATACTACATACCTGACTATTTACTATAATTAAGAGAGTCATCAGCCAGTATAATACCTAAGGATATGTATATATTAAAGAGAGAGAGACACAGAGATTTGGGCTTTTTTTTTTCTTTGCCCTCCAAGGAAGAGTCTTACAAAAAGACATGTATCCAAGATGGTAGCACTTTACAGATTCAGCAAAAAGGCAGGATCTGTCTGATTTAGAGTACACTTCCAATATCAGTAAGTATCCACCCGATAAAAGTAGTGCTGTTTGTAAGACAATAATAGCCGGTCACTATTAGGTTCTCTGATGGAATATTTACAATCTTGCACTCCTTGCGGTAAATGAATTACACCATTGACCTATTTCCCAATTTATACAGACCACAGTCCCTCCTTGGCATCCACAGGATCTGCTCTAGGACTCCCTGTAGATGCCAAAATGTGTAGATGCCCATTTCCTTTTATAAAATGGCACAATATCTGCATATAACCTACACACACCCTCCTATATACCAACATGCATTGTTTTACTTCCCTTTTTTGTTGTGCTTCACAGACATTTCTGTTTTTGCAAATCAGAAGTTTGTGGCATCTTCCATCAATGCTGGTATCACTTTTTCAACTAAACAATTAACTTCTTCAAGCCGCAAAGTACTTTATAATTAAGGCATGCACACTTTTTTAAGACTGGGTCTCCTATATAGTTTGTTCAGGTTGGCACTGAACTCAGTATGCAGCCCACGCTGGCCTCAAATGCATGGTGATCTTCCTGCTTCAGCCCTGCAAATGCTGGAATGAGAGGTATGCGCAACTCCTGGCCAGAAATAATGCTACGAAAATTTAACAGACCACAATATAGTGAAAAGATGACTTTTCTATGTACTGGGAAACCAAAAACTTTGTGAATGTTTATAATAATATTTGAATTGCTACTCAGGTCTAGGAATGAACCTAGAATGTCTCTACCATCTACCAGTATTTTAAATCATCATAAACTACTTATAACACATGACACAATATATACTATGTAAATAGTTCTTAGGCTACATCACTTAAGATACAAAAAAAGAAAACTTGGTATATGTGGAACACAGACGCAAGTTTATTTTCAAGTATTTTCACTCTTCAATTGAATCCAAGGATGAGAAACCTACAAATATGGAGGCCAACTAAATGGCTCCCCCAATGAAGTATATATTTAGCTTTCCCTACACTCCAGAGGAAATTCAGGGAATTCTGAAGTGGTCATAAACAATTAGCAATATAGGAATTTTTTGTATTCATTCTTAAACAACGTTGCTTAAACTGCTTGCTGTAGTTTGGATATGAAATGACCCCCCAAATACCTAGCAGTTCGAAGGGTGGTCCCCAGCCTGCTGCACTATGATGAAGTGGTGAAACCCCTATAAAGTGGGGCCTGGTGTAAGTTGCTGGCCCCACTGCTGGCACAATGCTGAAGGAAACGCTAGGGTCCAGGTCCTGCCTCTTTCCTTTTGCACGTCCTGGCTGCTGAGAAGTGAAGAGCTCTGTCCCCCACCATGATGTTCTGCCTCGCCACAGGCCCAAACACAAAACAGCTAACCAACCACGGACTGAAACCAGAAGCCACCTTAAACTTTGCTCCACTTATGTTGATTTTTCTCAGGTACTTTGTCACACTGATGGAATGCTGAGTGACACTCTACTACTTGAAATATTTTTTGAAACTTATTCTCCTACAGTATTAAATAAAAACAGCTTTTTATTCATAAAATGCCTCACCCACTGATGCGCGAACTGTTGTAATGTCATAGGTTTCCAAGGAAAATATGACTTCATCCAAGGCCTGAATGCCCTCCTCAGAGTTAAAGAGGACTTCATGATGTTCACTTCCAATATGATTTGCCACCTGATTATACAAAGGAAAATACAGACACTCAATATTAAAATAAAAGGATTACCTTATACATGAAACAGAATAGGGATTCATGGGACACTGTGAATTTATAGTGAAAAATAAACACAGCGAAAGAAACAGGAAAAAAGTTCTCCAGAGACCACATACACACCCACCTACCCAGGTGCCCGGCCTGCCCTGCTCTCTGCGCTCAGCAATGAGAAGCCTTGTCTCCCATAAGCTCTTCCTATCCCAAGGCCGCCACCTGATAAATACCAGCCTCCCAACTAGCACCCCCTGCCCCATCTATTTTACCTAACCACCTCATCTCCCTCTAGTCCGACACGCCTGCACGCTAATCTTGCTCTCCTTTGGATGTTAAGGAGACGTCTAATTTTACATCCAGGATGTTATTCCTGCATGCAGTGGCTCTCCCCTCCGGCCACTTTCTTTGGACAATTTGGAGTCTTCTAGCGTCAGTCAACTTGCACTTAGACCGCTCTCCAGCACGTTCTCATTCACTCTTGAGTCCTTGCAAGCAAGAATCAGAGCGCCCACATTCTGTGTGCAAGGGTCCCACTGCACACAGCTCCAAATATAACACTTTGCATAAAAAATCGAAACTAAATCGGTAACATTAACTAAATACTTCCCACCTGCTAGGGTCTATCTTACACACTTCACATGAGTTATACATTTTCACTCAAAACTATCACACTGCAGACAGAAACACCCCTGTTATGTAAGTGAGGACTTGTGTGGTAAAGCCAGGATTTAAAACTCCAAAGACTGAGGCCCTAACACCACACCACGCCTTCACTCTAGGCACAGAATTCTTGTCACGGGGTTTTCCCTGGATTGCATGGGCATGATGGATAAAAGTCGGAGGGTACAGTGGATATCCCAAAGGCAATTCTTTCCATTCTAATGCACTGCATCTAAAACAATGACTGCAGTCCATACAGCAGCCAAAACAGGGTCATCACTTCCTAACTTGATTTCCACCCAGTAACAAGTCTGTTCCAGCTCTAGGGTGTGAAAGACAGCCTCTTACTTTTCTGGCAGCCAGCAGGTCAGGACTGTCCTCCATGCCGATGGCAAATGTCTGCAGAGGATACTGCACTTGGGCCTCCTTCAGTTGCTTCAACAGAGTGGCAGCAACCAAGCTGGAGTCCAAGCCCCCTACAAGCAGAGAACCAGGGCACGGGTCACGCGCCTTGTGTCAGACAGGGACAGACAGGAAGGCTGACAGTCCTCGTCAGCGTTGGGATTTCAGTCTGACCCCTGCAGAGCTCCAAGTTTTACAAACAGAAATCAACTTTAATCAGTGAAAAGATACAGCTAATAATTTTGAGAGGACGTTGCAGGAACGCTAACTATGCTTATATTGGGTAAAAATCACTACACGGGATTCTAAAGAAATGTCCTCCTAGCTGTTAACACTAATCCAGCTATGGCATAACTCTAAGTTGCATCACTAGAATATTAAACACAACTTACACAACACAAACAACGCTTCACATCCTCTAATAAAGAAAAGCTGAAATCATACAACAAATATTTCACTCCAAAGCTCAGGAATGGCTACCAATCATTTCCCTTAAACAAACACACACGAGATACTGTTAGACTTTTAAATGGACTTCACCTGACAAAAGGCAGCCGATCCTTCTGTCTGTCATCAAACGCTTCTTAACAGCGTTGTTGAAAAGGATACGCAGGTTGCTCTTCACAGTTTCCAGCTCAAAACCTATGAACACACAAAGGACATTCAACAGCTCCAGAAAAGCTGAGCCTGCTTTAGTTACTAAGCTGAAGCACACGGTCCTCCACATCCCCCATGATGGCCGGCAATCCGGAGTGGAGTCTGTCAAACTCCAGGAGGTCCCACCCCAGTGAAACAGGAAAACAGTCTTGAAACTACAATCACTCCACTCACGTGACTATAACGCTCTGTCTTTGGGGAAGGGCGGGGGACAAGCAGCTGCTTGTTACCTGGAAAGAGTTTCTCCACACCGTCATGGCAGGCATGGGCAGGCTCGTCAGTACAGTGATGAAATTTAACCATTTCCACAGATGTCACCTTGCCATTGGGCTTTAAATCCAAAACCTCATAGTGTCCCGGAGGAAAAGGCTCCACTTTTAAAAATGGAGCTGTGGAGTGCTTCAGTGTAACAAGACCTGCAGATTTTAAAAAGATAACTTCCTCAATGAGGCAGTACTTCACAGGAACTCTCACGATTGGGAAAAATTCAATAAGTTCCTTTTTATATATATGATATATCAATATAGATATACAGCTTTTGCTTTTATTTTGAGACAGGGTCTAACAATGTAGTCCCTGCACTCACTATGCAGTCTACGCCAATCTCGAACTTGCAGCAATCCTTCTGCCTCCCTGTCCTGAGTGCTGGGATTAAAGTATGAACCAGCACACCCAGCTACATTATCTACTTTTAAACAAAAAAACCACCCAGTGGGGCTGGGGATTTAGCTCAGCGGCACAGCGCCTGCCTGGTAAGTGCAAGGTCGTGAGTTCGATTCCTGGTACGGGAAAAAAAAAAATCCAAAAACAAAAAAAACACCCATTGTACAAACAAAGTAGAGAAAATATTAATCACACAAAGCCCTACTATCTACTTCTAGAGAGATATAAGCGATGTAGAACACAGAGCCAAACTGCAGCAACTTGTAGTAATTCAAAGAACTTGGCAAATCTTCTGTCCAGTTCCTTCTCCTAGAGAGAACTTTTTTTTTTTTGATATGGGGAATGGAACTCACAACCTCGCACTTGCCAGGCAGGTGCTGTGCCACTGAGTTGTATCCCCAGCCCTACCTATAGAGAATTTCTAATGAAGAAAACCTATTTTCTATAATAAAGTTAAAAAAAAATAGCCAAAATTTACTAATAAAACCGAAAGATAAATATAAATCTGTTAATTCTGTGATGCTCTGGAAGTCATTTCTTTGTCATCACTTAAGTATTTTTAAGAAAAGTGCCAACACTGTAAAGTACTTCAAGGACAGACACTTAGAAATTAGAATCTGTGCCTTAATTGTTCTCATGTTTTGGGTGCCTAAAACTGTAAAACTTAAATGTCCTTAGTAATTTTTTACACTCGTAACCAACCTGACATCACAATGATCTTTGACACTAAAGTTATATTCTAAACAGTAACTGCCTACCTATAGAGAATATTCACTATGACTTACTATTTGCATTTATTAACCTTATACTCAATCTGTGGAACATGGAGTTTGTTTGTTTGCTTTTTAGTACTGGGAATAGAATTCAGGACCTCGTGCTTGCCTGACAGGCACTGTGCCACTGAGCTACACCCCAGCCCTTTGGTAAGGAATTGAAGACCAAGCAAAGGACCCAGAGGTTCTCACTAGCCCACAGGGCCCTAGGTTTTAAATAGAATACCATGATCAGATTTATAATGATGGAAAAGGGAAAATCTGTACTCTAGATGACATCGTTCAGTCTGACAAAGGATACCGTCAGGAATACAGACAATAACAATCAAGAAAGTTCAGAGAGTAAATCAGACATGAAGTTGTACTTTTGTTTCAAGTGACCAAAGGAGTCCCTGTAGAAGTAACAGTCTACTTTTCCTTCACATTTTCTGTCAGGTTTCTAAAAGCATATTAGGTAAATACATACTTAGGGGTATTTTTTGCTGTTTTATTGTGCTAGAAATACCTAAAATTTCAGGTTTTTAATGATATATTGCAGCTAGTGTGGCCCTGTGACTGATATTCTCTCTGTCTTGGCCAGTATTAAATCTGAAAACTAATGACGGAGATTTCAAGGGCCAAAAGGTCTCATTTTAAGCTGCTACTGCTGTCTAGGAAAAAGATAAAGACGACTGTCTTTGTCATGTTTACTGTCAAAAAAGGCCCAGTAGGTTTGCTAGCTTTCTATGGCTGTGACAAGATCCCTGAATAATCCATTTCAAGGAGACGACCTCGATTCTGGTTCACCCGGAAAGAGCTTCCGGCGCATGCGCATTTGGCCCCCTTTCTTCAGCGTCTGTGGCAATAAATGCACAATGGAGGAAACCTGCTCACCTCACTGCGGCTGGGAAGCTGGCAGGCAAGAGGAAAGGGCTCGGGTCCCAAAATCCCCTTCAGGAGCAGAGCGCAGTGACTAACTTCTTCCACTAGACCCCTCCACTCAAGGTTGTACCTCCCCACAGCAGGCTGGCAGCAGGGCTTTCACACACTGCTTTGGGGGGCAGAGTTCAGAACCAAACCATTACAGGACAATTGGCAAGTGATTTTTCCTACTTACTTTCCGGAACAGTGTCCTTAGAAAAGCAAAAATTTTAGTCTCAATAACATACAGTGTATCCATTTTCCTTATGTGGGTCATACTTTTGGTATTACACCTAAGAAATCTTGACTAAATCCAAGGTTAAGAAGATTTACTCCCAGATGTTCTTCTAAGCATTACGGAGTTCTAGCTCTTACATTTGGGTCTTTGATCGATTTTGAGGTAATCTATGTATAGCAGATAAAGGCCCAACTTCATCTTTTGCATAGGTATCTCCAGATATCACAACACTTTCTTAAGAGATTCTTCTCTCCCCCTTGGGGCAATCTTGCCACCTTTATTAAAATTTGGTTAGACTATAGATGTCCGAACTCCTGATTCCATCCCACTAGTCTACATGTACTCTAATGGCAGTACAACCCTGTCCTGACTACTGCTGATTTGTAATAACTTTTCAAGTCAGGAAGTGTAAGTTCTTCTACTGGTATGGCAGGAATCTATTACACCCCTTGAAAGGCTCAATGAGTTAGTGGAAGGCCTGGTAGCTGACGAGATTTTGGAGCATGATTAGATCTTGGGAGGTGACAGAAACTGGAAATGGGGCCAAGCGAAAGGAAGTGGGTCTTAGAGACTTGACTTTGGTGACTGGCTCTGTCCCTGACCCTGTTTTCTCTGGCTCCTTCCCTCTCTCTTTGCTTCTTAGAAGTCATAAAATGAGCAGCTTTGCACTTGCACGCCCTTCAACCAAGATGTTCAGCCTCCCCAAAGGACCACAGCAGTGGAGCCAGCTGACCACAGCCTGAAACCTCTGCAACTATGGCCCCAAATCAACCTTTCTTCCTTTCAGGTGTGATTTTCTCAGGTATTACGTCACAGGACAAGTAGCTAACGCATTTATTTCATTCTTTTTCAGTATTGCTTGGCTTGGTCTAAGTGCTAGTAAGTCCAAATGAATGAGAACTCGGCCCGTTAATTTCCACAAAGTTATCAGGGATTCTGATGGGCATCACATCGACTGTATCAATCACGCTGAGGAGTACTGCCATGACCATGGGATCAATTCGCACATATTTGGATTTTCTTTCCTTTCTCTTGACTCATAATTTTCAAGGCACAAGTTTTGCAGGACCTTTTTGGTTAAATTTATTCCTAAATATTTTATGCTTTTGATGCTACTGTAAAAGTTTTCTGAATTTCATTTTCATACTTTTTTCTCAAGTTTATAGTATACAATGTACATTGTTTTGTCTATCGATTCTGTATCCTGCAACCTTACTGAAAATCATCTTTTGAGACATAGATCAAAAATACAAAGCAATGGTTACAACCAGATGAAAAGACAAACAATTACAAATGGATAATTCAGAAATGGTTAGGCAAACTCTGATACAGCTAGACAGTGAAATATTATTCAGCAATAAAAATGAGGAATCAAGCTATGAAGGCATTTAGGAACTTTAAATGCATATTGCTAAGTGAAAGAAGCCAGCCAGAAGGGGCTCCATGCTATGTAATTATAACTACATGATGTTCTTGTCAAGGCAAAATAATGGAAACGGTAGAAAGCTTGGTGATAGCCATGGGTTCAGGCAGTAGAAGAGGAGGAAGGATGAAGAGATGCACCACAGAGCGTGAGGACAATGGAACTACGCATGTAATGGTGGACACTGGACATTATGTATTGGTTGAACATAAAAAACAGTGTAACACATGAACCCAATGTAAACCATGGGGTTTAGTTAATAATATATTAATATAGATTCATCATTTCCAACAAATGTACTGCAGAAAGGAAAATACTAAAAATAGAGGAACCTGGTAGGCAGAGACACTACACGGGAATTCTGCACATCTGCTCATTTTTCTCAAACCATAATCTTTTCAAAAGTGTCTTTTTTAAACAAGAAGATCCTCAACAAGAAGAAAAAAAGGCCAATACACTAAATAGACATTTCTCCAAAGAGCAATTAAATGGCCAATACACACAGGAGAAAAATGCTTGTAAGCACTATCAGTAGGAAAATGCAAAATCAACACCACAGTAAGATACCACATTACCACACCGAGATGGACATAGTGAAAAACTCCAGTATCAAAACTTGAAAGCTTATATATTTCTGCTAGGAGTGTAAACTGCAACAGTCACTTTGGCAAACCATCTGGCAATTCCACTAACAATTACTAGAGGACCCAGCAATTCCATACTTAGGGATGTACCCGAGAGAAAGGAAAACCTATGTGCACACAAAAACTATAGCAGCATTATCCAGAAATAAACAAAAGGTGGCCTATTCATGGAGTAAAATACCACCATGCCAGAAAAATAAGTACTTGCAAAATAGGCAATCTTTAAAATCCTATGTGAGTAAAAAAGTCCAGTCACAGAAACACATAAAATGCTATTATTCTATTTATATGAAATATCCAGAATAAGGAATAGACAGAGAAACAAAGCAGATTGATGAGTGTCGGAGACCAAAGTGAGCTATAGGGCTGCAGAGGATAGATAAAGAGGGTTGGGGAATTACAGCTAGAGGGAAGAGGGCTTTTTTTGAGGTGATAAACAACATCCTAAATTGGCCTAGAGTGCTGGTACAAACCTGAGACTATACTAAAAACCACACCGACTTGTATATCTTAAATGTATAAGCTATATACTACGGGAATTATATGTCAATAAAGCTCTTTTTAAAATGGTATTTACTTCTGCAAAGGCAATAACTGCGGAACCAATTCTTTGCTTACATTACATAGCAAAACTTAAAAGTGCATGTAGGATCAAACTAGATGCAGAGTTTATTAGCCTAACAACACATAAACGTACTATAAACCTGCTGCCCAGGGTTGCAGAATTTAAGTGCTGAAAACCTGAGCTCACCTACTAAAAAAACACATAAACATAGCAGCATTATCCAGAAAGAAACAACATGGGGCATATTCCTGTAAATATATCCAATGTCAGAGAAATCACAACTTACTCAATCACTTGTAAACATTTGGAGTCCCCCTATGGGATTTCCAAATATGATCTAGAAGAAAGCAGGATACCAGAAAAAGATTGAAAATTCAGAGCAAAATTGATTTCATTATTACCTTTAGCTTCAGAACACACAGCCAGAAATCCATCTTCTGTCAAGACTCTGAACATAGGTCTGACGCCATACGTGTCTCTGCCCAAGAATACTTTCTTATTGGCAGTGTCCAGTAAAATAAAGGCAAACACCCCATCCAACATGCGAACTGTTTGCTCAATCCCTCCTTTGTTATACAGATGAAGAATGATCTCTCCATCCACATTGGTCTGGTATTCAAACTCAAAGTATTGTTGCAGCTTAAGGAAGCAGAGCAAAGCCAAAGTGTTAGGATTCTTGTGTTTTCACCAATTCATGTTCTATTGCAAAGTGGATTAAATATTTTGGTGCCTACAATCCTTTCCTGCACCCCGATGATTTAGAAGAATCACAGCATTATCAAAAGTTTGTTGCAACTCACAAACAATTCTGCAAACACTTTGCAACAGAGACTGAACCCCTAACAATTTTAGTTGTATTCTGATAAATAGTATGCAATGCCTTCTACGGGAACAGTAATGTGTAGAAGGATCAGTACTTACATACTTACAGTATAACCCATATATATTTATATATATCCCTCCGTGTCCATGCTGTACCTACTGCAGAACCCAGACGGATAACAAACTCTGCAGGTGTTTTAATCATTACATTAAAAATAAATCCTCAATTATATACTGCACATCTTTTTTCCAGGTGCTTGGAAATCAAATGGTGAAAAGAAAGGTCAGAAGGAAGGGTCATGTTAGAGGGAAGTGCAGGAGAGGTACAGTTCTGCTAAAAAATATACAGTGGATGATCAAAATATAGAGTGAATATTTAACTTTTTAAAAATCGATTTCAGTACGAGACGCAGTGTCATTAATCCCCTTCAGAATATTTAGAATGCTCTCCACATGTGCACACTTCAAACACATTTATGGCGATTACAATTACTCAATCTAGACGATCACTGCTGTTTCTTTTTCAAAATTTTTTTCCAACTTAGAAGTTGGAGAGAAGGCTGATAACCAAAAATTACTTGCAAAATGGTAGATTATAAAGTTGTGATGAAATACTACACAAATAATCCTGGATTGGAAGCTTCTTATCAAAGTTGCCTGCCTAGAATCAAAGTTGCCTTCTCTTCACTTATTCTCATCCTAAAAGGAAGCTTCATCAGATTAGGAAGTTGTTTCAGTGTTGTTAAAAGCCTGCGACCTTTGTACCTTTTGGGTTTGATTAAATGAAGTATCATACTGCATATTCAGTGGCATATACTTCACTGCATAGTGGCATATACCCACTATCATTCTATTGCATACTGCATCTCAATCGCATTCTGCAGAAGTATTATGAATGTGATCATCTCCAAACTGTTAAATTCTATCTTTCCCTCACTATCATTCCATAATCCCTTTCTGTCCAGGGTGAACCAGTCCCAAGAATGAGGTACCCATGGATGAATGGATTAGCAAGAAAAAAAAAAAAAAACAAGAGGCAAAATTCTGGGATCAGGGGGCTAGCAGCCTCTTGGACTGAGGCCCTGATTACTATTTTCAGTAACCTTTTATTGAGAAAGAACAAAAGATGCAGCTATTACAAATGGGAGGATATCAACAAGTTTAGCAAGGACAGTACAACTCAATTATCATGAGGTTCAACTTAGTAAGCCATCATGTTATCACTCCTTCCGGCATGTCTCAGTAAAGCATTTAGTGTTGACCTCGCGGCTTTCCACAAGGATACAGGAGTTTTAATCATTTCCTTTCCACCAATGCTTTTGCTAGACTTCCTCCTGTACCAAACAATCATATGCCTTGGTAAGGTCTGAAGTAATACATTGAAAGAGTGACTATAGAACGTCCTTCTCCACCCTCACAATTGATCACTTCTGACCTTAGAATGATATTCCAACTTCCTATCAGGACACCCTGCTGCAGGTGACCTTCCTCCCCAACATCCCTTCCCCACACACCTCTCACTCACTGCAATCCCAGGGATGCTTTCTTCCCCCCATGGGTTTCCACACCTGCTACATCCAAAGCTCCTCTCAACCTGGCCAGGTGATCTTTGTCCAGCAGGTCTCAGTTTGGGTGTCACTTCCTCAAAAGCTGTGCTCCGCACACATTTCCTAAAAGTGGATCCTCATACTCAACAGTTCTGTAATTATCTTTAGGAAGTCTATTACACCAACAATGATACTGTCTGTTCCCTACTACAATGAGCTCCACTCACCAGCTCACCTGCTCCTCTTACTGCAGTCTCTAACACAGCACTAGCACAACTGCAATTACTGCTAGAAGCTCTACACTTGATCTTAGCCAAAGGCCGAGAAGCGATACTGCTAGAAGCTCTAATAGAACAAATGGCTAATACTCCAAGAATCCGAATGGTATCCCCACACTCATTACTCCGTGTGACCAAGTCATTCCCCCTCTTTGAGCATCAGTGGCCCGCACAGCTGTATGACTGGAACAGAAGCGATGATGAACACACAAGAAGACTTTTTTAAAAATCAGGCACGATACAAACATTCTTATAACCAATCAGCTCTGGGCATTAATCACAAGCAGACATCTTCTGGGTTCCTTCTCCTTACCGCCCGGTGGTTGTAGATTTCACCATTGTAACAGAGCCACAAAGAAGGATATTTCCTCAGTCGAATGGGCTGCATTCCAAACAGAGGATCCACCACCGCCAGCCGGTGAAACGCAAAGCAGCAGTTGGTGTAGCCATTGACATTCTCAAAGCGGAACGCGTCTGGGCCCCGGTGTGCGATCTTCATGGCACTCAGACACTGCACGGCCAGGCAGTCGTCGCTGCCAAACAGGGCCCAGATGCCACACATGGTGCCACCGAGTTACGCGCTCTAAGAAGACAAAAGCAGATCAGTCTAATACTCAATATCCAACCTAAGCCGGAATTAAACCTCCACTCCAAACTTGTGTAACAAACTTAAAAGTGGAGACAGAAATCGTCCTATCTTTAGCACTTTTCCATTGGGTTGGCAGGCACACAGGAGGTGGTGATGTCATTTATTGACAAGTATTCACAAAAGACGGATGACCTTTACATTGAAACAACTATGCCACTTAGAACCCCGCCGAAGCCTGCATCCTTCCTACCTTAGGATTCCGGTTCAGCTAAAGGCAGGGGCATCCGGGCCACACAGTGTCTGCATTGGAGCTGTTATCAAGATACAGACCTAAGGGCAGGGAGCTCAGAGCTAACAAAGACCCCAGCCTCAACTTTACCACTCCCGGATCTCAAAACCTCCCAAACGTTTGGGAGAACCGCCCCCCCATTTCTACAGTTTCTTTGACAATTAAGTGCCCTTATTTACTTTACTAACTGCAGGTAAGATATGGGGGGTATAATAGCAGAGTATATATTCTGCTGAGGACAATACTAAGCATTTCACAACGTCTAGCCTACCTCTAGCTGACTTACTCAAAGGTAACTGAACAAACACAAAGAGAAATCAATAACCTCATATCAGATGTCCTAATAAGAGAAGAAAAGCTTTAAACTGACAGAGGACCCAAAACATTCACTATCAAAATATCCTTAATGGCAAAAATGTTCTCAAGTATTTCTGTCTGCATTGGTCAGTCAGAAAGCAAACTAAAGAAATTACAAAACATTGCTGAAACAAACAACAAAAATTTAGGATACCCTTGTAGGCCAGGAAGCAAGTAATGCCTACAAATGTTAATTCAGTTCCAATTTCAAGTTAACAGTGAAACAAAAGCCTGTTTGATTTGTACACTGTCAGCTCAATTACTTTAAAAATATCTGTAACTTGGAAAAAAACTGCTTTTACATTGTTTAAAAGTGCAAATCAATTACAGACGTCCCAAATACTTTGGGGAAGAAAACCCAAAGAAAAAAAATATAGATTCAAGTTCCATCAATCACTTCGAAGAAGCCTTTGAGGACATTTCACTTATAACTTAAAAGAACTACAGCTTTGGTTGGCAGTTGAGCAGGACCACAAGAGAACAATGACAGTGGTATCCACTTAGGTATTTGGAAATAAGGGCCTCACGAATCCCCTGCACATACTTGACAGAACAGCCTATAACCAAGTATTTCTTTTGAGATTTCCTGGAAAACATGCATTGAGATTTTAGAGTTGATACCAATTTAAAAGACGCGTGGAAGTGCTTTCCAAATAAGTGGGCCTCAGGGACCTAAGTCTTCTCAACACTTAGGTCACTAAATGTCTTCTCCTTCTATTTAGCTTGTACAGGAAACACATGAACTACTAAAGTAAAAAGCAAAAGAAGTGCAAAAAAGACAAGGGAAACAAAGGTGTGTGACACGTACTCATTTCTTTGGCAGAAACATATCAAATTAAAACTATGACGCAGCATTGCTAGGGCAGTCAGTCCTACAGCTGGGCAAAGATCTTACTGTAGTGCTTTTTTAAACTGTTGCTGCCTGTTCGCAGTAATTTTCCATATTATTCCTGCACTTCTACAGCAGTGCTGTCTAGTACAAATGCAAACGACACGTATAACTTTAAGTATACTGGAACCCTCATTTAAAAATTAAAAGAAAAAGGTAAAATTAATTTCAAACATACTTTAACACAATACGCCCCAAAGAGCATCATTTAAACATATACAAATATGGGATCTTTAACATTGCTTTTTCAACTACATTGTCAGAAAACAGTGATGTGTTTCATATTTCCAGAACATCTCAATTCAGACTGGCCTGTGTAAAGGCCTCACAAGGGACATACATGGCCTCACAAAGAACATGAAAAATTATTGACTATTCCCCGTTGTCCTTTTTACCTGCGTCATTCTGCATTCTAGCCACTCCCTGAAAGTCCCTGAAATGTATCGTTCTTTTCCTGTAAGTTTTCTAAAGTTTCTATAGTGTCTCCCAAGACTGCTTCACAAAGAGTTCGCTTGCCAAGCAGGATGTGGCTTTTTGGCTTAAAAGCTGCTCTCACACCTGCTTTGCTGCTGACCTGATCCTACCCTGCGTGGAGGCTCTCAGTCAGTCGCTGGTCAGCTAATAAAGGCTCATTCTAAAATCTCAATTGGCGATCTGTGTGCTCCAGTGTTTGTCGGTTGGTACCTTGGTTCGGTTGAGTCCAGAACATTTGGAGGTCCCACCAAGATGCCCTGCAGGGGGCACTACTGAGCCAGATCACTTTACCCCTGGCAGCCACCTGTCAAGGGTCTTCTCGAGAAGATGTGCCTCGACCCTGACAGGCTTCCCTGCCTAGGGTAAAGACTAAATTCTTGGGGCTGGGGATTTAGCTCAGTGGCAAAAGCGCCTGCCTGGCAAGCGCAAGGTTGTGAGTTCGGTTCCCGGTACCGGAGAAAAGCCAAAAAACAAAAAAAAAAAAACAAAAACAAAAAAAAAAAAAAAAAAGGCTAAATTCTTTCCATTTGACCAGGAGCCATTTGTCTTCTTACTGGTAAGTTTGTTTATTTGTTTGTGGGGCACCCCGTTTGGATCTCCCGGACGGCAGACGTGCCTTTAAGTGCCGGAGAGACTTTGGTTTGGTTTTGGTTTGTTTGGTTTTGGTTTGTTTTGCTGTTGTCTTTTCATTGTTTGTTCTTGTTTTGTTTGTCTAAATGGGTCAGTCTGCTTCCATGTCGCTTACGCCACTTCAATGTGTTCTAAATCACTTTTCTGACATTTGGGGGCTTCCCAGGATATTCTGCAGGCAGATCCTCTTTTGAGGGGGCCCCGGCCTCCAGATCCCCTAGCTCTTTCCTGAATGGCTGGGCGCCCCAGCTAAGTTCAGCTCTCACCATCGGGGGGAGGCTAAGACCTGGAGGCCATGGCCAGGAAGGACAGACAGAGTTCTAAACCTCCGACTGGGTAAGATTTTAATTGGCTTCCAATCTTTCCCAAGGCTGGGCTTACTTGGGAGAGAGCTCTGTTGCTAGCTCTCGGTTTGTTAGGCCCCCAGACCTGGGTGGCAGTTTTGGTTTCTGCCGTCTCTGGGAGCCGGGAGAGGGGCATGAAGCCGCATGCTGCAGGCGCAGTGCAGCCTTCACCTTCCCAGTGGGAGCTGAGCAAGGGGCGTGTTAGTCCTTCTGGCAAGCGCTGAGAAAAAAATTTGGCTTTTTGTTTGTTGCATTTCAAGCCAGTCTCCAATGTGAATTGGCAGAACTAGTTGGAGGAAAACTAAATTATCTTTCCCTGGATTTTGTCCTGTCTGTTTGTCTGTTTGAATCGTTTGTTGTATGCGCTTGCGTTCCTTGGTGTGCCCGTGTCCTCAGGTTACAATTGAATCTGCTGCTTGGGTGGGAGGGGCCCTGATCGCCCTCCTCCGGTCTTTTCTACCCCTGGGAGTTGTGTACTTGAAGGCTTAAAAAGATCCTGGCCCCCACAGAGTCCCTGCTATTTTTTTTTTTTTTTTTTTGGTTTTTCTCCGGTACCGGGAACTGAACTCACGACCTTGCGCTTGCCAGGCAGGCGCTTTTGCCGCTGAGCTAAATCCCCAGCCCCTGAGTCCCTGCTATTGTGTCAAACTATTTCTGTTATGGGGACTGCCCCTTCAGGCAGCCTTTCCCCCAGCCTATAGCAGACTCAGATGAAGGAGTCTCCTCCTCAGGTTTCATCCCAGTCTTGCCTCTCTGGCAGGCTCCTGTGAAGTTGGGAAAAAATCCTCGTTCTGCAACTGGAAAACTTCAAACCCCCTCCTTTTAGAGTAAACTCCAGCTTCTGTCAGTTTGCTAAAAGTGATGTTTGAGATTCAATGCCCCACCTGGGGTGATTGTCAACAGATGTTAAAACTTTGATTTCTCAAAAAGAAGGACTTCTTAAAGGTAACTGAAAAAAAAAAAAAATGAGATTAAATGCAGGAAAAATCATCAGGCTTCAAAAAAGGGGCTTCTTTCTGTAGCTCATCATCCCACTCACCTACAAGGTGGCAAAAATGTCACAAGTTGCAAAAATTAAAAGGTATTACAGAGATAAACTTGCCCCAGCTGATAGAGATTGCAGAAATTCGTTTCAGGACAAAAAAGAAAAGTTTAAGCAAGAACACTTAAAAAAAAAAGGTCTAAATAAGTGACAATGTGTATGTACACGTGACTAAGATGAAAGCTACGTTAAGGGACATAAAAGTTGCTGGTATTCTGAAGACAGAATAAAAAAATAAAGTTCTGACTACTTATTACAAACTTATAATTCAGTATGGCCAAAACTATATTTGAGTGCACTCTAAGTTTATAAGTAAATTGTCTTATATATGTGTTTTGTTTGTTTGTCTGTCAGATCTGTAAACAGCTGTTTTACTTGAGCTCAACAAATTTCTCTTTTTGTATTTTTTTTGATTTTTGAGGTAACTGTCTATAATCTAATTTGGCTTATATGTAAAGATTTGCTTCTACCACATTGCCGGCTGATCAAAATTATGTTAAAATTGGTTTTATAAATGAATAAATATTGTTTTATGTATTATGATTTGAGGGTCTCTCATTGTACAAAAACTGACATGTCAAATTCTGATTGAATGTTCATAAAATAGAAAAAAATGGGTTAAGATAATTAAATAAAAATCCTTTGGGTAGAGAAAAGATAGATAGGACTAGGACTCCAACTGATAAATAAAAAGCAGCTGCCTGAAATAACATTAACCAGTTTTTGTTCATTAATAAGGAGCCCTGATAATCTCCATAGCCTTATGGGAGACACAACAATATATACTGTTCAAAATATTATTGTGATATGTTTATATAGTGATCATTGTCATATATATATATATATAGTGACAATTTGTTATTGCTAATTTCATGGTGTATTAAATGTATTTGTGCCTTCAAAATGTACAGTCTTCTAAAATGTAAAACTAGAACTGTTTATATAATGTTAGATATCTGCCTTTTCTCTTGTGCTCCAGATATTTATAATTATAAGAGGTTCATGGGTCATCATTCGAATAATTTTTTTAACAAAACCTTATGTGGTATATATACTCGGTATATGCCACTACATTTAGAGATGCTTAGATATTAAATGGCCCAGACAATGTTACAAATTTATTAAATAACATCCTGTTTAAGGATAAGTTAGATAAAAGCTCCATATGTATTAGGTAAAAATAATGACTAAAAGGGCTATTCTATTGTGCTACAAAACTGTCATCATGCTTATTATATAATGATACTATGTATAATTTTTGACTTGTAGTTTTCTTTGTAAAACTATATGACTGTTGTCTGTTAATATTCCACAAAGATTCAACTACTAGAATATCCATGATTGGTAAAAAGTAATAATTCCCTGGTTGTACTTTATATTTCAAGGTGCTTACAATATAATGCCACTAACATTTTCTGCTGGATCTTTAACAACTTAGGTTTGGAGACCAAAAATTAGACAGATAAATTGGGCTAAGAGGACACCAATATTTTGGCCAAAGCCCTCCAAGGTCAAACAGGACTCAGGACATAAGAAAACCTCTGCTGCCACATCACGCAACTTGTTGAGTCCCTGATTTTCTGATCAAGGAGATTATGGACCACAGAGGAAAATGATTATACAGTATAATGTGCCTAAGGAGAGTCACCAGGAAAAAACAGTCTCCCAAGCTTTCAAAGAAAGCAACTTGGTCAAGCAATGGCTGTGACTCATCCAGACGGCTGGCACTGACAGAAGTACTAAGAGGTACTGTACACGGTTCCAAGGTAAATCCTGAGGAGAGTTAACAGACCTTGATAGAAAAAATTAATATTAATTAATACAGGTCTCACTTTAACTTGGTCTTGAGCAACCAACAGAAAAATATAAGTACAAGCTATTAGATAAATGATAAATAATAATAACAATAATGTGTTCCAGTTCAATTAATAACATGGGACAAGGATATGTTTATACATTGACAGGTCATCAACCACCATTGTAGATGCCATCCTGGAACATTGTGCCATAACCTGTCATAGATTCTACAATGGACTGATTCTATTAACATGCTTGGACTCATGACCGGAGCCTGGCCCGGTCACATGACACAAGGGAATCAAGGACTTGATTCCTTCCTAAAATCAGTGGGGAATGTAAAGGCCTCACAAGGGACATGCATGGCCTCACAAAGAACATGAAGAATTACTGATTACTCCCCCTCTTGTCCTTTCCACCTGCGTCATTCCGCATTCTAGCCACTCCCTGAAAGTCCCTGAAATGTATCGTTCTTTTCTTGTAAGTTTCCTAAAGTTTCTATAGTGTCTCGCAAGACTGCTTCACGAAGAGTTCACTTGCCAAGCAGGATGTGGCTTTTTGGCTTAAAAGCTGCTCTGAAACCTGGTTTGCTGCTGACCTGATCCTACCCTGCGTGGAGGCTCTCAGTCAGTCGCTGGCCAGCTAACAAAGGCTCATTCTAAAATCTCAATTGGCGATCCGTGTGCTCCGGTGTTTGTCGGTTGGTACCTTGGTTCGGTTCTGAGTCCAGAACAGCCTGCGTGCCAGGTGTTCAGTCCAAGGCGCAACGGAATAGGTCAGCGCCACCGCAGAACACTTGCTGTCTCTTCTGCACTCAAACTTGACCAGATCACCTTATTTTTACATGAAGAGCTCAATGCAGGAGCCCGGCCTGGTGGTGCACACCTGCAACCCAGCAACGGGGAGGCTGAGGCCAGGTTCAAGGCCACTTGGTCTACACAGTTTAAGGCCAGTATGAACTACATACCTAGCAAGGAGTGGGTGGAGGGGTGGGAGAGAGACTGAGACAGAGAGAGAGGTAGGGAGAAAGAGAGAGACAGGGGGAAGTCAATAACCAATATCCAACTGGACAGGGGCAAGACCTACTACTTCTAATTCACTTCACAGTAATTCCATCAATGAGAGAGCTGTCCTCCTTGCGATCATCAAGCACGGGGCAGGGACGGTGCGCACCCTGCGGGCCAGGCTCGGAGCAGGAGCGAAGCCCGTCCCTCCGTTTCCAGCAGAAACACCCGCAGGTGTGCGAGGAGGCGCCGCACTCGCCCGGCCCCCTGCCGCCTGTCTCCGCGCGGGGTCCCCGCGAGTCCGGAGTCCGCAGCCCGAGGAGCCAGGGACGGGGACGGGGACCGGGAGAGGGGAAGCAAGGTGAGCAGGGCCGAGCCTACCAGGCGCCCACGGCGACGCCAGGGACCCCGCCGGACCGGACCCGCCCAACCGCAGCCGGCCGCGCGCCCTCCGCCTGCTCCG